CAACCCACATTGGTAAACAAAAGAATTGATTGGGTTAGAATAGAGTTACAACCCACATTGGTAAACAAAAGAATTGATTGGGTTAGAATAGAGTTACAACCCACATTGGTAAACAAAAGAATTGATTGGGTTAGAATAGAGTTGCAACCCACATTGTTAAACAAAAGGAACTGGTAAAGTACACTGCACAGAGGCCCAGATGTTTCTGAATCTTTGTCTCTAAGTTTGCTTCCTGCTTGACTTGTCTAACCAGGAACATGTTTGTTTTGTGATGGAGTACGCCTGTGGTGGGGACCTCATGATGCATATTCACAACGTCCCCGGGATGAAAATTTCTGAAAGAAACACTGACTATCGGTACATTTTCTCCCAGCACTGAGAGAACAAAGGGTGGTGGGAGCGTGCGAAATGCCGATCATTAGTGTCGTTAGGGAATGGGATAATAATACAATAATAAACATAATGGTTAGTGATCTTATATAGCGCGGTACCCCAGCCTAGGGCTGGGCTCACCGCGCTATACATTAGAGACCAACCGAAAGTGATTTTCTTATTTCGGCCGAAGCCGAAAATAGGCCGAAAGTTTAAAATGACTTTCGGCCGAAACCGAAAAAAGACCGAAAGTTAACTTTTCTCTTTTGGCCGAAACCGAAACTTGGCCGAAATTTATAAAATGGCCACTTTCGGCGCCGAAGCAGAAATTCGGTCGGCCTCTACTGTACATGAAACTATTATCAAAAGAAACATAATCATGACATTAAAATAAAAAAAAACTGACATGAAATAAAGAACAGCGTGTAAACAAAACAACAAAAACAAATGTATATTCACCCACCCCACCCCAGGACTTTTACAAGGCAAACCATGGACGGCAGCCAGCAGCATTGTTTATCGGGCAGAGGAGGGGAATCAGTCAGAGGAGGGAAATCAGTCAGGGTAGTATCCCACCAGAGAGCAGGACCCCACCAGAGAGCAGGACCCCACCGGAGAGCAGGACTCCACCGGGGTACGGCATCCCACTGGAAATAGAGATCCCTCTGGAAATAGAGATCCCACCAAGAACAGGATCTCCATAGGTATGGGATCCCATCGGGGAAACTGGATCCCCCTGGGTTCAGGTTCCCAAAGGGAAATTGGATCCTATTGGGATAGGGATCTAACTGAAGTCGGGATCCTATACTGGAGAATGAGATCAAAACTGGGAAGGGATACCACTTATTGGTATCGGGATACATTTCGGATTGTATTTTATTAGTTTTTTCTTTGGAGAAGAGAAATTTAAAAAAAAAATTATTTATGTGTTTTTACAGACAAATTAATTTAGAAGTTAGCTATATCTATGTATGGCATCCTTAGCGACACCGTGTATTTATCTAGTTTTAGGAAAAATTAAATTCATGAGTTCATCACCCTTTAGAATATGTGAATATGGAATTATATTTATACATCAAATATAAGAAGAAAAAACAAGAATTTTTGGCCCCTATCCCAAAACAGGACATCTAAGTTCACCCCCCCCCTCCCCCCAACCTCTTTTCTTTCTCCAGTATTTCATTATTTTTTGGTTAACATGCCTACAGCTTGAAAATTTCGTTTAGCATACTAGGTTATAGTATAGGTGATTAAAAATCTGGCCATAGGGTGAAAAAAAAATACAAAGCAAATGGGGCTTTCAGACATTGGTTGGGGTGTAAAGACGATTTAGAAATCAAATAAAAACAAAAAAAAGTGCTGTATAAGTCAGTATTAATTAACTATAACTGCCTGGATTTAATTAAAAAAGAAAACACGTAAGTTTACATGAGAAAATACGAAATGCGTTAAGAAATAATATACGCTACTGAACTGCATTTTAACCAATACGTTTATGTTTATAATTTTATTGTATTTTTTAATTCTATTTTAAATATAGTTCTATAATCCTTAACATGAGATCAATCAAGATTCAAGATCAAAGTTCCTTTTTTTTTTTGGCAGCAAATCGGCTACTGTCTTATCTAGACTCTTATCTGTAATTGTAATGAAAAGTTTGGCTGCGGCTATTTAGACCCGGTATCAGAAGTGGATATTTTAATTCACCTAAAAAATTATGATTATTCACCCTTCCCATAAAACAAATATTCTTTTGAATAAAAAAACAATTCGGAGAGATCAGCCAGCGGCCACCATCTTGGTTATCGTGACCCACGAACTTATGTCCTAAATGTACACCTAAACCTAACCTGAATCCTAAATGTATCCCTAAACCTAACATGAACCCTAAAATGTATCCCTAAACCTGCTCAATCTGAATTAGGTTAAAAAACTTTTAATTAAAAAAATTATTATACATTATTTCCATTAAAACACTTCACACTTCCAATAAAACAAATGTTATTTTGAATAAAAACATACTTACTTCTTTAAAGAACCTCGGCTACTATAGTGGCCAAAATTGAACAATATCGTCTAGAATGGCGTTGAAGACATAAAAACCATGTTGACGCCACATGAACTCACACATATACAAATTGAGCATATGTCTGTGTGTGCCGTTGTGGTGCTTGTTTCTCTCTTTTGCAGATTTCCACAAACGTTCGATGCTTTGGGCATTGGCTATTGGCACCTGAGTTTGGATCCAAAAACTTAACAGAATGAATGACTGTTTGAGTCAATCCCGGAGTGGTGCCAATTGCATTATATGCTCTCCATTGATCTGACATGACTGTTGTGCCCAGCAGGATGTGCGCTATGATTATCGGCATAAGTGTAATATGTAGCTGCTGATTTATCTTGTACACAAAACATGAAACACTCACTAATCTCCTGACAAATGCCCCCAGAGACCCATTGTTTTGGCAAAAC